AGGGCTTTCCCCAGCCTCGGTCTGGCTACACAGGGTGGAGCTCACTTAGCTGGGTGTAGTGCAGGTGTAAATGCCCTAGGCTAAGGGGAGTGGTCTGGAGGTCAGCAGTGGAGTGTGAGAGAACAGGAAAGAGACAAAGATGAGAGAAAAAAATTAAAAACTAAGACCACTTAAACTGTGCGGTAATATAGAGAAAAGAAGGAAACAAGAGTAACAATGTAGCTGAGTCCCCATCCCTGCCCATGGATCTGCAAGGGTTTAGTCCCTGCCCCGAGGCAGCTGTGGCAAACCACAGCTGAGCCAAGAAAAAGCCCCTGCGCAGTCCTCAAATACTGTGGGGGACAGAGACGAGAGATGAAAACAAAAGCAACAATGTAGCTGAACCCCGATCCCTGCCCATGGTGCTGCAAGGGTCCAGTCCCTGCCCCGAGGTAGGCAGGTGCAAACTGTGGCTGTGTTGAGACCAAGCCCCCCTATGGGCTCCAAATGGTCCCGGCTCCAGCAGAGACAGTGGCAGGGCCAAGCCCCAGCCGGCTTCCACTGAGGTAAGCCAAAAGCCCCCAGCCCCTCAAAACCCCGTGGGTCTGTGCCTACTTATCCTGAATTCCAGCTGTGTTGACTTTCCCTCTAAGCAACTCTCCTATGCTGGATTCTACGAAGTCCCTCTGGTATGTGTCTCTCCATCACCATCTTCCAGGAAGTCTCTTTTTTAATTTTTAAGCAATTTAATTTATATTTAATTTGTATACTACACAATTCAGTGGTTCAAATATATTAAAATAGTTGTAGAATCTTCACAACAATCAATTCTAGAACATTTTATTCATTCTTATACCCATTGCTATTAGCTCCCCATCACCCGTAAGCTACCTTTCATAACCCTAAGAAACAATCTATTTACTGACTCTATAGATTTTCCTACTGCATATCACATATTGTTAATTCGTTTCCCCCAGATATAGTCCGGCTTCTCAAATTATTTGCTCACCCTACCTATTGAATGAGTAAAGTATCATTCAACCATGATGCACACCTTTCCTGATTTTAAGCCATTAAGTATATCCTTGTTTGTTTGAATAATTGCTTCTTGGCATACGTATTGGTGTGGGATATAAAAAGATTTTCCCCCAGATTTTCTTCCCCCTAAAATATGTCAGACCTAGGACTCTGCTTGCAACTAATGATAAATGATTG